AATTGGCTAACCATGTGCAAAAAGCAGAAACTGGACCCCTTCCTAACACCTTATGCTAAAATTAACTCCAGACAGATTAAAGACTTAAACGTAAGACCTAATACCATAAAAACCCTAGAAGAAAACCTAAGCAAACCATTCAGGTCATAGGCATAGGCAAGGACTTCATGACTAAAACACCAAAAGCACTGGCAACAGAAGCAAAAATAGACAAATGGGATGTAATTAAACTCCAGATCTTCTGCACAGCAAAAGAAACAATCATTAGAATGAACTGGCAACCAACAGAATGGGAAAAAATTTTTGCAATCTACCCATCTGACTAAGGACTTATATCAAGAATTCACAAAAAACTAAAACAGATTTACGAGAAAAAAACAAACAAATCCATTCAAAAGTGGACAAAGGATATAAACAGACACTTCACAAAAGAAGACATATATGAGGCCAACAAACATATGAAAAAATGTTCATCATCACTGGTCATTACAGAAATACAAATCAAAACTACATTGAGATACCATCTCACTCCAGTTAGAATGGTGATCATTAAAAAATCTGCAGACAACAGATGCTGGAAAAGATGTGGAGAAATAGGAACATTTTACACTGTTGGTGAGAGTGTAAATTAGTTCAACCATTGCGGAAGACACTGTGGCAATTTCTCAAGGACCTAGAAATAGAAATTCCATTTGACCCAGCAATCCCATTACTGGGTATATATCCAAAGGATTATAAATCGTTCTATTATAAAGACACACATATATGTATGTTCATTGTGGCACTGTTTACAACAGCAAAGACCTGGAACCAACCCAAATGCCCATCAATGATAGAATTGACAGGGAATATATGGCACATATACACCATGGAATACTATGCAGCCATAAAAAATGACTTTGTGCACTTAGTGGTGACATGGATGAACCTGGAAACCATAATTCTCAGCAAACTGACACAAGAACAGAAAATCAAACACCACATGTTCTCACTCATAGGCAGGTGTTGAACAATGAGAACACATGGACACAAAGAGGGGAGCATCACACACTGAGGTTTGTTGGGGGGAACTAGGGGAGGAACAGTGGGGAGTAGGGAGTTGGGAGGGATAAAATGGGGAGAAATGCTAGATACAGGTGATGGGGATGGAAGCAGCAAACCACATTGCTATGTATGTACCTATGCAACAATCCTGCATGTTCTTCACATGTACCCCAGAACCTAAAGTACAATAAAATATATATTTTTTAAAAAGGGAACTTTTGAACAAAGTTGATAGGGATGTATATTAGTAGAGCCATTATAAAAAACAGTATGCAGAGTTTTCAAAAAATTAAAAATAGAAGTACAATATGACCCAGCCATTCTACTTTGGGAAGATATCAAAAGGAAATGAGATCAGGATGTTGAGGAGATATCTGTATTGCCATGCTTCATGGTAGCACTACTTATAATAGTCAAGATCTGGAATCAACCTATGGGTCTATCAACAAATCAAGAGATAAAATCAATGTGATACATATATAAAACAGAATATCATTTACCCTTTAAAAAGAAGGAAATTGTGCCATATGAGACTGCATGAATAAACCTGGAGGATGCTATGTTAAGTTAAATAGGCCAGGCACAGAAAGACAAATATCTCATGATCTTATTTACATTTACATGTGGAATTTTAAAAAGCTGAACTCACAGAAGCAGAAATAAGAATGGTGGTTACCAGGCTCTGGGGGTGGAATAAATATGGAGATGTTGGCCAAAGAGTAAGCTTTCAGTTATAAGATGAACAAATTCTGGGGATCTAAGGTACAGAATGAATGGTGATTGATGTTTTAATTAATTTGATTGTTGTAATCATTATACAGTGTGTATGTATATTATAAAATCGTTACATTGTATACTTGAATATACACAATTTTTTATTTAAAAATGTTAAAAGTTAGTATCAACGATCCCAACTTCATAAACTTTGTGTAATCCTTACTGAATGAACTTTCATACATTGTCTCAAAGAAGAATATTAGTCTAGAGAAGTTGTAGTAATCACACAATGGGAGGGAGTGGGTAACTTTTACAAATGATCTAGAGTGACTTCATGGAACACATAGGGAAGAAATATGGTTTAAAGAATGTGTAGGAGTTTGACAATCAGATGATGATGGAATCTAGGAAGAAGGGCAACATATGCAAAACCAATAATTTAATTTAAAAAACACAAATAAAAACAAACTGTTCATGCTATTGTAGTTCAGACACAATGACTAGAGTGGTTTAACAGAAATAATTCTGGCCTCCTACTGACAAAGAATAGATTCACTGATGTTACACAAGAAGTAGTATAATATCTATTTGACTCAAGAAACATTTGGCTTCACATATCATAGAAAAAAGGTGATAAGATATGTTTAAGGATACATAAAGATCCCCCAAATTTGACAGCAGTAGTGTTATATAGCCAGGCTGTTACTGGTGGAAGAGATCCCAGTTACTCCAAGTTATGGGCGGTCTATCCCTACAGGTCCATAACAACTTACAGTCCTTGCCTCCTCAGAAGAAAGAATTCAACTGAGGGGCATGAGGCAGAAAAAGAGACCAAGGCAAGTTCCAGGGCAAGAACGAAGTTTATCTTAGAAGGCCTTAATACAGGAAAGAAAGGAAGGTGCACTTGGAAGAGATCCAAGTGGGCATGTGAAGGTTAGAGAGAGACGGTCAAGTGTTCTGTTTAACCCTGATCCTAGGATCTTTGTAAGGTCACCTTTTTTCCGTGATTTTTCCCTTAGGGTGGGCTACCCACATGCACAGAGCCCTGCCTACCCTTGAGAAGGGAGCCCGAGCAGTATGTTTAGGGATTTATACACATGCTTACCTAAGGCTTTCTTTCTCCAGTGGAGTGTACCTGGAAGATCATACTTTGCCATTTTTGTCTCTTAATATGCAGACCCAGAAAGTTTCTTCTCCCTGGGGTCTGCATTTGGTTAGCATTTTGATGTTAAAGGTGTGGACCATCAGGAAATGGCTGCTCCCTGGCACTGCCAGATTATCACTCTGAGATAGGCAATGTGATAATTGCCAAGCCATCACCAGATATTTCTAGTAGGTGAGGGGAGAACCCTCTCCTGCCACGCTTATGCCTAGCTACCTATAGAAAGACCTCAGAAGAATTAGACCAGGAAAGTCATCAGAAATCAAAGTCTCTCTGTCTCCCCTACAGAAATCACATTTTCATAAATTTCTGGAATTTTTTCTGCTAGACTACTTCACTTGCCTGTCTCTCCTCTAGGGATCCTGTCCTGCTTCCGTTTGCGTATGTCTCTAAGTGACTATTTCAACCTCCTCTACACAACAATAACTCTTTATACATTGTATTGATACATGTCCCTAAGGTTCACTGCTTTAGGCAGGACTGTTTCCCAATTCTAAATTCCTAAGAGGTGGATCTGATTGGCTCTCTTCCCATTTTTTTGAGCCAGGCTATGCAAGCCATAGGTTTCTGCTTTGCTAGAACATGGACTTGCTGCCTTGGGGTAGATGCACATCCTGGTCCAATAAGTATCAGCCAGATGGTGTGGTCATGTGGTACGTCCCCATAACAAACCCACTCATTAGTGAGCAAGGGCCTCAGCAGCTTCCCTTAGAAGGGGCTGCAGAAATAGCAGGCCATTAAATACAAGCATAGTACAGCTTTGATAATTTTGCTCAACTGAGAAACCATTTTCATCTCAGAAACTAATCAAGAAACTATTCTTTCTGCCAAATGCAGTAGGATGAAATACGTTTGCAACTGCTGCAGTTGGAAACACAAAGGCAGCTAGCCAGAGCATACAGAATACAACAGGGCAAAATACTTCAGTGGGCACAGAGTCTGTAGGCTGGAGAGGAGCAGTGCTAACAAACAGAGAAAAGAGACAGGATTTATCCATTTTGAGTAAGAGAAATGTACCCTGGCCAGTTGGAGTAAAAAGAATTCATTGAATAGATACAGGAGGAGCACCCAGACCTAAGAGGAAAGCTCAAATAGCAGTCAGGTAGTTTTTAGAGAGTCTAATTTGGAAGAAAGTACTTGAGAAGTTCATCCAGGTGCTACAGCTGGAATGAAGAGGTCCAACTTTTTCAATTTATTTGTCATTCTGTCAAACTCTCAGAATTGAGTGCCCAATTGGGCTTGAGGGATAGAAGAGACGAAAGCACTTATTTGAAAAATTTTGCCAAAAGGTGGTAAAAAAAAAAAAAAAAAAAAACTCCCCAAAAGGAAACTTCAAGTACTATTTAAAAGATAAAGTAGCATGGTTGTCGGTCAGAAAAAAATTCTAACGTCCATCATAGAAAGGGTTTCTTTGAGCAATAAGCAATTAGTAAAGGCAGTTGGCAAAATACAATGATGAGAAAAACCTCTTTAAGAATACTACTGAAGACACTGGTTAATAAAAGTAAAATCTGAATACATGTAGATGAAACTAAATCATATCTTCTACTGGAAATAATAGCTAGAATATTCATAGTACTTCCTATGTGCTATTAACTCTTCTAAACAGATTCTTTTTTTAAAACCAGTTAATCTTCACTTTTGCCCCATGAACTTTTCTGATAAATCCCACATGACAGAGAAAAGTAAAAATCTACAAAGGAAGTGGCCGAGTGGGGATCCAATTCCTGGCATGTGACTCCACTCTACACTCTGCCTAAGAACCCACTACAAGATTCTTAGCAAAGGAAGAAAAGGAAATGGGGTACAGAAAGCCCAAGGAACTGAAAGACGAGAACCAGAATGTAGACAAAGCAAGAGGAGAAATCTAAGCTTCGATAAAACCATATCCTGACTCTATCAAGCTAAAGATTTAACTAGGAAGTGGTAAGGTTGTTGCTCCCTCTAAGCCCACCACTGGCTCTCGGGGCATAGAAAGGGGCCGCAGTGTGCGCTGCATCGCACTCCCTTGCAGTCCCCTCCTTGTTCCCCAGCACCACCACTCCCCTTCCTAAGGCCACCGCTTGCCCCGGGGTCTATGGAAGTAAAGGAAGGACCCCTCAACCCGGCTTATCAACAGACCTGATGAGCAGACCATTCATTAGCTGCAGGCAAATACGAAGAGGCTATTTCTTCTTACAAAAAGGCTGCGGCATATCTTTCTGAAGCCATGAAGCTGACACAATCTGAGCAGGCTCATCTTTCACTGGAATTGCAAAGGGATAGCCACATGAAACAGCTCCTCCTCATCCAAGAGAGATGGAAAACGGCCCAGCGTGAAGAAAGATTGAAAGCCCAGCAGAACACAGACAAGGATATAGCTGCCCATCTTCAGGCATCTCACAAATCCTCTGCAGAGGATGCAGAGGGCCAGAGCCCCCTTTCTCAGAAGTACAGCCCTTCCACAGAGCAACACCTGCCTGAGATTCAGGGGATCTGTGACAGGGATCCAGACACAGTACTATATTTACTTCAGCAAAAGAGTGAGCCTGTGGAGCCCTATATTGGAAACAAAACCCCAAAAGATAAAAAAATAGTTATAGAGGAGCAGGCAACCAAAATTGCAGATTTGAAGAGGCATGTGGAATTCCTTGTTGCTGAGAATGAAAGATTAAGGAAAGAAAATAAACAACTAAAGGCCGAAAAGGCCAGACTTCTAAAAGGTCCAATAGAAAAGGAGGTGTATATAGATGCTGATTTTGTAGAAATGTCAGCGTTACAGAGCTTGCCACCACATTCAGAAACTGCTATAGCCTCCTCAACGCTGCAGAAGTTTGCGGCAAATACCTGGAAAGCCAAGGACATTCCAATCCCCAATCTTCCTCCCTTGGATTTTCCATCTCCAGAACTTCCCCTTATGGAGCTCTCTGAGGATATTCTGAAACGATTTATGAATAATTGAAATGGAAGGCCACAGAAGAGGAGGGGAAAAGAGGAAATAATACAGTAATAGTTAATCCAACAAAAAAAAAATGAAAAGGGAAAAACCACATAAAAGCGTCATCCCAGAAATGCTTCGTCATCTGGCGGAGTGTGAGAGACGAGGCATTGCCAGGGCTTGGTAAACAGTCATTGTGAAATGTGTCTCGTATCTGATTCACTGACTTGCGCTAATGATTCTGCCTTGGCAGACACTAGACTCATAGAGGGTTCACTTTCTCCTGATACAAACCAAATGGCTACCTGGAATAATTTTTTTCAAGCAAAAATTACTTTTCTTATCTTCAGGGTTAATATGTTTAAAAGTACGTTATGCATAACTAATCTATAATGCCATAAACGATAATGCAAAACCTAAATAATATGGTGGTCCGAGGAGCTGCCTTCTTTTTGAAACAAGCTTTCTATCATGCATTGACTGTGTTCATTTTGTTAATGCACATTTTGTTTGTTTAAATAAGGTGTGTAAGATACACACCCTTCTCGATGAAACTGTATGTGCCACACTTTGCACTACTGCTAATGATAACCTCAAGACTATCAGGAGAAATATTTAAATTTCCATTTTATGAAGAAAGGAACCAAATTATTATGCTTTTTTAAACAAATTACCAGTTTACATAATTAATCAGGGTGCATTTTAAATTCTACCTTTGTTTATTGTATAATGTATCATTTGAAAATACAAAGGAGGAAATGCCCTTTGTTTTCAATGATGCAAGATTGGGAGTAATGCTAGTTGGCAGTATTTGATTGTAAGAAATCAATGAAGTAATTATGTTTTTTTAAAAAAAAGATTTAACTAACATTTTTGTTAAAAGACAAATAGGAATTAATAGAAAAGTCTACTGCATATTGTTTATACAGTTTCTTAAATCTCTAGGTTCTGAGGTTTACTATATAGTATATTTATTTTTCCAAATCATAAGGTCAGACATTCCCACCTAATCTTGTCCTACCATCTACTCTAATTAAACGCCTTTCACCTCGTTCCCAACAATGGCCCAGCTAGGGCTGTAATAGATAGATGAAGCAGAGATTAAAAATTGGATATTTTCAGTTTATGTTATTACATGAAGGAAACATTTTGTATCGTTTTCCATCTTAGTTTGAAATAATCTTTAAGCAATAGAAATTCCTGCTAGCCCGATTAATGTTATTCAGGTTTATGTCCAGGAAAAGAAGAGAAAAAGAACAAGAGGCCAGGGATAACCTGGCTATCATAGTCTGCATCCTCTCATTGATCAACTGTTTACATTTATTTTACAGAGTTTTAAGAACTTCAGTTCTTCCCCTTTCTGTTTTCCCATCAATGGGACTCCAAATTGCAATTGTTTATAAATAATGGAAGTTTATTTTGTTAGTTACAAAAAAAAAAAAAAAGGCTTGTCTACAATTTTAGATAAACTTAAATCCTGTGCACTAGAAAGAGCCAAACATTAATCTGGAACTAACAAATGTACCATCTTTTTCTTTTCAACTCAGGTTTACTGCTTATAATATTGCTAATTGCCCACTGCAAGTAGACTAAACTGTATAAAGTTGGAAAATTCCACTAACAGTACATAGTTAGCCATATGGTAAATAAAATGTGAAATTTTAATGAGTTCTGTTTCCTGATCCTCCTTCTATCTTCATACCTGAATGGCTTCAAAAAAGTGAAATAGAGGAGGTAGATCAAACCAAGGGCAACAAGGGCAAAGAGATTGGGTTTCAATGCCATTTATCTTTGCCTTTCTACTCTCTCACATATATTTTTCAAATCCCTTTTCACTCCTCTAAGAAGAGATACTGAGCTAGTACAGTAAAGTAAAAAGTAAGAGGCTTCAGAAATCATTTTATGAGTTGACATCAAGTTTTAAACCTAGTTTTATTTCTCTGTTTTTTTTCTTTTAGCTGTCATTGAGCACCTACTATGTGCCCAGCTCAAGTCCAAGCACTTTGCATGCATTATCCTACTTAATATTCTGACAGCAATTTGATAAGTTGACTCTATTATTGTCATTATTATTATTACTGTAAAAATGAGAAAACTTAAGTATCTTACTTGTTACACACAGCTAAACTGACCTTAAAGGCCTCGATGTGAATCATTGTGTGAACAGAGCATTCTTCACCTTCCAGTCTCTATTGCTCATCTATTGACTATATACCAGGCACTATTCTAGGCACTGGAGATATAAGTAAGTGAATAAGCCAGACCAAGACCCTGCCCTCCTGAATTGTGCATGTTAGTACAGAAAGCAGATAATAGTCATGCCATTTTAAAATATGTAATTCTGGATAGTAGCAAAAGCTGTGAATATTCAAACAGGATAATTTGCTAGAAAGTACCTGGGAGACTGTGATCATAAAAATCTCCCTTCAGAGGGCTGTCTGAGGAAATTACATCTCAGGTGAGACCTGAATGATAAGAAGTCCCCAGCCGTGTGAAGGTCTGGGTGTAAACTATTTCAGACAGAGAAAAGGACTCATGAACATGGATGGAGGGAGAAAGATGGCAGGTATATTAGAGAGATGGAATGATGATTCAGTGTGCCTGGATCATAGTAAACAAATAAGAGAGTATAAGCAATGAGCTAAAGACATAGGCAAGGACCAGATCATGAAGGGTTTTGGAGGCCAGGGAGAAGTGCATGGACTATATCCTAAATGAAATGAGAAGCCATTGGAGAGTGTTAAGCAAAGAAGTGATTGAATTGGATTTAAGCTATATTAATAAACACACACACACACACAAACACAGACACACATTATACATATAATATGTTATAGATCTAGATATATAGAGAGAGTATAGCTAGAGTAGAGATAATAGAAATAGAAATAGAAATACATTTCACCCTGGCTGCTAGGTGGCAAATGCAATAGAGAGAGCAAGAGGAGATGCAAAAAAGACTAACGATAAGGCTCTTGCAGTAGCCTAAGAAAGAGACAACGGTGACTTTGACTGAGTAAATGGCAAAAGGGAAGGAGATTTTGAACTTTTATTGAATAGACAACTGACTGGATTCTCTGAATAATTAGATGTAGGTCACTAGAATAAGAGAGGAATCAAAGGTGACTCTCACATTTTGGGCCTAAGCAATTTATTTCTTAGCAACATCCTTGACGAAGATGTGGAGAAGCAACCCCTGACACCTACACTTGTAATTAGCAATATGGATTATTATCTTATTGGGTGTAAGACCTAATGGGAGTGTGGAAAAGAAAATGAAAGGGAAGTCCATAGCTCCAGCTTTACCACTAATAGTATGACCTGAAAATATGTCATTTAGCCTTTCTGAGCCTTAAGTATAAAACAAGTTTGACAGACTGATAATCCCTAGTGTCCTTTCATACAGAAAAATTCTTCTATCTCAACTCACTTCTCACCACTGCTCCTATGGTATCTTTTGAAAAGCAGAATGATAGCAATTGTTTTTTAACTGAAAGAAGGCAGACAGATCATAGGGAAATTGTCCCATGAGCAATTTTGTTTAATCATGACAAATTCATCTGTATTGTACTAGCATTCAAAGACTCCAATTGTCAAATATATCCTACTCCTATTTTGCTTATGAACTATTGCCACCAACTCGTCTATTGAATTTATTAGTGGCCACTTCATTTCCTCAATGGGTTTTGCCTCCAGCATCCTTGTTCTTCAGATGTTGGAAACCTAAAGCCTCAAGAGGTAATGGACTGTTCTAGGATCTTCAATGCCAACATAATTTTGATCACAGGGCTAGATTTTAGCCTATTAAAAAATCTTTTAAGTAAAAATTATCATTCTCTCCATTTATTTCCCAAGTACACTTCTACAGATAATAAAATAAATATTGGAGGTCATAGAAATGAATGCTATTAAAAGATATCTAATTCAAGTTGACAGGGTCTAAAAAGCTTTGTTTACATGCAATGTAAGTTGATAACTTTTTTATTTTTATTTTTAGACAAGGTCTCACTTTGTCACCCAGACTGGAATGCAGGAGCATGAACATGGTTCACTGAAGCCCCTACCTCCCAAGCTCAAGCTATCTTCTTTCCTCAGCCCCAATAGCTGTGACTACAAGCTCATGCCACTGCACCCAGTTAATTTTGTATTTTTTTTTTTTTTTGTAGAGACAGAGTTTTGCCATGTTCCCCTTACTGGTCTTGAACTCCTGGGCTCAAGCAATCCACCTGCCTTGTCCCCCCAAAATGCTGGGATTACAGGCGTGAGCAACTATATCTGCCTGCAAATAGATAACTTTTAAAATCATATGTATTCTGTAAATAACAGATAATGTCATACTTCCTTTTCTTTTTTTATTCATATAATTTTCCAGATTTATTTTTCCTCCCAGAAACTTTTCTTTACAATGTTATTACTTCCTTATAAGGGAATCCTATTTGATAACGATAGTTCAAATTTAGTAAAAGCATGTTACAAAACTTATGTTTAGTTTAATGTGTAGTTATTTGGATGAATTCATGTTTTTACCACTTTGATTTAATTTTTGTTTTTTAATTTGCTATTCAACAAGCCTTTTTTTTTTCCTAAGCTCACTGCAACCTCCACCTCCCAGGTTCAAGCAATTCTCTTGTCCCAGCCTCCCAACTAAGGCGTGTGCCAATAGACCTGACTGAATTTTATATTTTTAGTAGAGATGGAGTTTCGCCATTTTGACCTAACTGCTCTCAAACTCCTGACCTTAAATGATCAGCCTGCCTCAGACTCCCAAAGTGCTAGGATTACAGGTATGAGCCACTGTATGCAGCCTCCACAAGTCTTAAATATTGGAGGATAACAATTTAAAAAACAAATTTTAAAAATTATAGAAAGTATTCTATTTAAAAATATATATTAGAGTCATATCTCGTATTATTTATTAAAATATATTCCAGACAACTTAAAGAGAAAAACATAAAAAACAATGTTGTAACATAAAAAGATGATATAGGATAGCATATATATACACAATTATATATATAACTATACATACCATTATATATAACTATATATAGTTGTATATAGATAACGATATATACACAAATAACTAC